GGCCCTGCCTCCATTAGTGAGCCCCACAGTCCTGTTCTGTCCATCTGCAAGTGGTGGGTATCACGGTGCTCAACACTAGCACTCTGGAGAGATCCAGAGAGAGAGCACACAAATTGATTCAGATCATCACTTAGAACGTTTTGGATGGCAAGTCCCTAATCTCTGTCACCACACTGCACGGAGGTTGATTTTCAATTTACCTTTTTTGTTCTCAATCTTAGATGTTTTGATTCTTAATTCAGAGCATTCATCTCAAGTGGATTCAGAGATTCAAATCTGCTGATAAATTCATGTTTGTTGAGAATTTTCGGAGGGAGGAGGAAGATGTTGTCAGCTAAGCTTTTGAATAATGTCTCCTTTGACATTTTAAACTCAAAGTGGGCTGAACCGCACATCAACACGTGTAGGCATTATGTGACCAAGACGTAGCATGTGTACAAATAGACTGTGTATATCTGAAAAATAGAACCTGGAAGAAAGGTAATAGAGAAGCAAGGGAAAGGGGCTCAGAAATGAGGGATCTTTTCTGCTATTTTCTTTGTATGTCCTGCTTCCTGGTTTCATGGAGTAGGGTAGGAGGAAAAGGAGTATTTATTTATCTACCCTAATTAGGCCTGATGCTAGGTAATACACACACACACACACACACACACACCATTTTTATATATGGAAACACAGAGTCACAGAGAGGTTATGTCTTTTTTTTTTAAAGATTTTTATTTATTTATTTGACAGAGAGATAGAGAGCGAGCACAAGTAGGTGCAGTGGCAGGCAGAGGGAGAGGAAGAAGCAGGCTCTCCTCTGAGCAGGGAGCCAGACGTGGGGCTCGATCCCAGGACCCTGAGATCATGACCTGAGCCGAAGGCAGACACTTAACCGACTGAGCCACCCAGGCGCCCCCCCCTTTTTTTTTTAAATAGCCAATAGACTAGTACATTCATAGGTGGACTACTACTCAGTGAGTGATACAAAGTAATGAGCTATTTTTATTTTTAAGATTTTATTTACGTGTCAGAGAGAGAGGGAGAGAGAGCACACACAAGCAGGGAGAGCGGCAGGCAGAGAAAGAGGCAGACTCCTCGCTGAGCAAGGAGCCTGATGTGGGACTCAGTCCCAGGACCTTGGGATCATGACCTGAGCCGAAGGCAGACCTTTAACCAACTGAGCCACCCAGGTGTCCCACGAGGTTAAGTCTTTTGCCAAAGTTTATTATTAAGTGGAACCATAATTCAAATTCAGTTCCTCCTTCTTCTGAATTCCAGACTCTTACAACTCTACTTGATGTGCTTGCTTTTCTTGGTTATCTCTCCCTCTTCGCCAGCATTTACTATTATAATGAGGCTACTTTTTTTTGTATATAATGAGGCCACTTTTTAAGTAACTGGTAGTTGATTTGCTAGACCAATATTTTATGCCTTTTTTTTAAGTTCTAGATGTCAGTCCTTCCCTTCATCCCTTCCTCAGATGTTTGTTAAGTACAGGCAGCGTGCCAGGCCCTGGGGATCAAGAACCTAGGTATGGGCATTGCCACTCAGAGTATGATCTGTGGACTGTTCTTGGTCCCTGCATTCATCAGGGTTCTCCAGAGAAATAGAGGAAGAGGGTGTGCGTGTGCGCGTGTGCATGTGTAAAGAGATTTATTATAAATAATTGGCTCATGCAGTTACGAGATGGGCAAGTCCCAGGATCTGCAGGGTGAGTTGGCAAGCTGGAGACCCAGGAAAGCTGATGATATAGTTCCATTCAAAAGGATGGCAGGCTCCAGACCTCGGAAGAGCCAGTGTTTCAGTTCAGATCCAAAGGCAGGAGGAAAAGAAAGAATATCCCAGTTTGAAGAATGTCAGGCAGGAGGAAGTCTCTTACTGAGGGGAAGGTCAGCCCTTTTGTTCTGTCAAGGCCTTCAACTGATTGGATGAGGCCCACCCACATGAGGGCCGGCAATCTGCTTAATGTCCTGATTCAAGTGTTAAGCTCCTCCAAATACACCCAGAATACCGTTTGACCAAATACCTGGGCACCCCATGGCTCAGTCAAGCTGACACATAAAATGAACCATCACAGTCCCCAAACTGTTCTGCAGCAAGGGAAGTATGAAAGGTAAAAATTGACATTTAAAAGTTAGAAGGAGCGCTCCTGGGAGAGACAAGAGCCCACAGGACGTCACTGGGGTGTGCAGACCACCTCTAAAAAGGCCGGCCTTTTGCTGTCGTAACCCCACCCCTCTTCGGTGACAAATCTATAGAGCTTTAAAGGGGAGAAGACACCTGTAGACCTTTAAGAGCTAGGTTTGGTTAAAGCCATCTGGGGTCTAAAGAAGAGTAGACTGCTGATCTAGCATTGCCCCCTTTGCCACCCCTGGAATTGTAATCGCTTGGGGACTACATAATTATGCCCTTGTTTATAAGCACGTAATCAAAGAATTATAGGCATGCAAAATGGGGGGCTCTCGGGGGAGGAGTCAAAGGAAGTGATGCGGTCTGCTCCTCCACTTTGCCTCCTGATGAACTTGGACCTGCCTGAGGCTGAAGGGAAGAAGGTTCAGAGATGCCACAGGTCAAAAATAAGCCAACGGTTGTTGGCCGGTTGTTGGCCCTTTTCTCCCATATACTAGAGAACAGCCCTGTGTTGAGAAAATGTACAGCCTTTGACCCCCTAATTTATGTCATCAATGTATCCTACCCCAGTACCACCTCCTCTTATTGGAATTATTGCCCAACGGGAGGCAGAGTGCTCAGAGCTTTGTATTTCCGTATCTTAAACCGCCCATCATGATTGTGAGGTTAGCATTTCTGCTCCCGTGTCAGAGCTCCGAGCATTTAAGTAATCCCTCCAAAAGAACAAATTTCTGGTTCCCCCTTTGTTGTGAATTTTCCAGAGCTTCTGGGACCCTGGTGTATTTCCAGAGCTTGCTGGATTCCTCCCCAAATGTCTCCAGGGTTTTTTTTTTTTTTTTCATAAGGACGAAGACCCCACAGGCCTCAGAGCATCTGTAGCCGTAACTCTGAGCATAAAAGCGGGAGCAGGGCCCCCTACAGTCATGGAAACCTTAGTTGCAGTCCTACTGCACCACAGTGGCAAAGCTTAAATGTTTCAAGTCTGTTTCCTTATCCGTAATGGAGACCTCAGTTGCTACCTGCTTTTGCTGTGATCACCCAAGACATTATCAGCGTGAACTACCCAGCACTGCCCAGATCCGTGGCGGACCCCACACAGAAGTGTCACTCTGCCCGCTGCCAGAAGCTGGATGCCCATCTCCTCCCACCCTTGCTTGAAGGGTCGATGGCAGTTGAGCAAAACACAATTGCCGCTAGTGGCCTGTTCATTTCCATCCTCGGTGGCACTGATTTGGTTTTTACCAAACAGGGAAACAGGTTTCAAAAGCCGGGGTCGGAGCTTGTGATTGGCCAGCTCAGTGACAATACAGCCCTCATCAACCTGTGATTTCATATACCCACACACTCCGCCTCGGCCTTTGATCTGTGGTCCGGGGCAGTGGAATTCAGTGAGTCCGAGATGCCACATTAATAGGAGAGGGCCAGGAGCTCAGGCGTTTAACCCCAAGGCGATTAATGGGGAGAAGAATGAGTCATGTTTGTGAAGGCTCACAAGACACATCACAAGGTTCTGGGCAGAGGCCGGGGCAGTACATCGGCACAGGTGAAGCCTGCGGGGTGTAATTCATTGCCTCCTTTGATCCTCAAGTTTTGTGAGTCACAGAGACGATCTGGGACGGTTTGGAAGCTCAGTGGGGTCTGGGCAGGAAGAAGAAAAACTCGAAGTATGGAAAAAGAGAAATTGCAGATTTCTTGGGCAGGCAGCTAAGAGGGGATAATTTTCTAGAGATGTCATTTTTGCTTGGTCGCCTCGAAGGATCCCGGCATTTTGGCAGCACAGGAGCAGAGAGGAGTGACAGCTTTGGCTGTGTCCTGTCCCTGGTGCACCTGTATACAAGGTGTGGCATGCTAAGTATCTTTGGGAAATGGGGATTTTACATTAATAAAATTTTTAAAAAATCCATAGTTCTCTGTAGGGCTGATTATGAAGCTGTTTAAGTGGAGCATGTACAGGTTCAGGCCTAAGACAGCCCTGGGTAAAAATTCTGACTCCACTGTATTCTGGTTGTGTGATGTTGAGAGACCTCCCATCCTTTCTGTGTATGATGTAAATGGAGTGTTGCTGGCAACAGTGACTGCTTTTCTGGGAACACCTTGAAGTTAATTACACTCCTTTCTTCTCCTTTATTGCACTTGATTATTTGACTCTTGGCTTGGACACATGTATCCACCCTATGGCATCTATCGGATGGTATGATACGTTACCACAAAGACAAGTATGACCTGTGCTTTGTTCTCATTGAACTACCAGCCTTCACAGGAAACATCCGCTAAAACAATTGACCAAGTACAGTATGGTAGTTTGTTTTTCAATAGTGATATGTACAAAAATAAAATGTGTTAGAACAGCCTGAAGATTTTGCCTGCACACTGAAGAAGGCGTCCCCTGGGAGCTGAGGCTTCTGAAACAGGGTTTTGAAGGATGAATAGGAGTTCCCATAGGAAGAAATAAATAAACCTTGTCATTATTATGGTCTGTTCTTTTTACTCCTTTTTGCTCTCTTCCACTTTCTCCTTTTCCTCTTTCCCCTCTACCTGCTAGTCCTTCCTTCACATTTCCTGTTTTATAGAGAACAAGAATGTCCACCTGGAAATGTTCCAAGTAGGGAAGGGAAGACAGTGTATTTAATTGGGAAACATTATGATTGTCTTCTCTAAACAGCATGTGCGTTTTTATCACCGTAGTTAAGTCCTTCTGTTCTCAGCTTTGTCCCCAGGTCAGTCAGGATGCATTTATTTGTCACTCTGTTGCCACCCACTTGCCCTGGTCAGTGGGATTGTGAAAGGAGCCTCCCGCGTAGAGACAGATGCGTGGGGTGTCGGGCGGGGCTCGCGGGGTGTTTCGCCCCGGCTAACCTGGTCTTTCCCCCCCCCTCCTCCCCCAGATGGGAAGCCGGTGTCCCTGTCGCCGCTGGAGTCGCAGCCGCACAGCCCCCGGTACGCCGCCGCCGGCCAGCGGGAGCGCGAGAGCCTGGAGGTGCGCGTGCGCGAGGTGGAGGAGGAGAACCGCGCGCTGCGCCGGCAGCTCAGCCTGGCGCAGGGCCGCGGCTCGGCGCACCGCCACGGCAACCACTCCAAGACCTACTCGGTGGAGGAGGGAACCGGGGACAGCGAGAACCTCCGCGCCGGCATCGTGGCGGGCAACAGCTCCGAGTGCGGGCAGCAGCCGGTCGTGGAGAAGTGTGAGGTAAAGAGCATTCGGAGGCCCCCTGGCCCTCCGCCCTCGTAGGTGCCACCAGGCAGCCGCGCCAGGTGCCCGGAAAGCGCCGGCATTCTTGACTCGGGCCCGAATGCGAGTCCGGCACCGCCCCTAACCTTGCTGTGTGTGGCCTGGCCAGTCCTTTAGCCTCTCTGAGCCTTGGTCTTCCCATCTGAGAAATGGGCGCAAGGGGGTCTCCACCACAGAGATGTTAAGAGGAGCAAAGGGATGGAAACTACCGCCTGTTTCTTGGCGGTTCATTGTGACCCACTCGGGATTTCTGCACCTAGCTGTCATCCATCCTGGGGATGCTTCTTACTTAGACTACAGTGTGAGTGGCGCACATGGAGTTGTGGTTGTTGGGTGGTTGCCTTGGCCTCCTTCTTACTTTATAATCCGCTTCTGGAGTTCAGAACCAGAGACTTGTTGCTTCCCTGAGCAGCCCTGTTAAGAGCAAAGCCTTATGTGACCCAGACAAGCCTGAGTTCATATCCCAGTTCTGGTGCTTTCTGCTGTGGGTGCTTGAGCAAGTTACCTAATCTCTCTGAACTTCAGATATCTCATCAATAGATTTGAGAAAAGAAGTTCCTGCTTCATGGAGGATTTATGAGAAGTAGATGGGATGGGTCATATAAAGCCACAGACAGTGCCTGGTACATAGTATGTTCTCAATTATGGTATTTTTTTTTTTTTTTTTTTTTTTTTTTTTTTTTTTTTTTTTTTTAGAGCATGTGTGCGAGCAGTGGGGATGAGGGTTGGGCAGAGGGAGAGAGAATCCCAAGCGGGCTCCACGCTCAGCACAGAGCCTGATGGCGGGGCTCGATCCCACAATGCCAACACCATGACCCAAGCCTAAATCAGGAGTTGGACGCCCAACCGACTAAGCCACCCAGGCGCCCCATCAATTATGGTTAATTTTTATTTTTAGTTATCTACATTATCTGCTGCTGCTTTATTCCATTTCCTGGGCACATTGTCAGAATGTGGGACTTCAAACCTCCCTGAAAACACCTGGCGGACTATAATATGTTGTTCATGTGAGGGTGGTTATTATGTTGCTGATACTATATAGTCTGTCACAAGGGAATGGGGGGCTTACTAAGCAGCATAGACTCCATTCTGGAGAAGGTCAGCAGTGAATGAGGAGAGCCCCCTGGGTCTAGTAGAATTTCTCATGGCTTCTCAAGCCTGGTTGAGGTGTGGAGAGGTGGACAGTGGTGGATGGAGCCTGTCCAGTGAGGAATGTACGTGTGAGTATATAAAATGTGAAGTAAAGCATTGTCCTAGCAAGAAAGAATGCAGGACATGGTGAGTTGATCAGTCAGGAAGTCCAGAGAACCTGGGCCGGGAAATGGTTGCACTGGATTATCATTCATTCTTTCGTTCAGCGGACGGTCCCTGAGCCTCTGTTACGTGTCTCACACTGTTTGCTGTGCTGGGAAATATCAGTGAACAAAAAAGAGACAAAACTCGCTTTCTTGTTCTCCTGTTGAGGTGGGACATGGAGAAAGAGATGCTCAAGAAATTGAGAAATTCAAACGTCAGGAGGTGTTAAATGCCGCGCCTTGGTTCAGCCCTGCCCACATGCCAGGTCCCATCCATTTATTCCTCCACAACCATCGCCAGTGGCCTGAGGTCCTAAACGTCTCTTTCTTACATCTTCAGCAGTGCTAACAGACTCCCCTGCTTCTGGCTGGTCTGGGAGGACCCTAATTTGGGGAACTTCCCTTCTTGCCTAGGAGAAGGCTTGCTGGCATTCTTGCAGGTTCTCTGCTCTCTGGTTATGGCCCTGGTGTCCGTTCAGAGTGGGCGACGGAACCCTGTCCACTAGGTGGGAAGGCCCAGGGGGAGGAAGTGTATTTACATTATTATGACTCAGACTGACTCAAAGCACTGACTGAGAATCAAGGAGGTGAAAATGGAAATGAGAAAGGAAAAAAGGAGTGGGGGAGACAGGTGGAGCAGAGGGAGAAGGTGGGGGTGGGGACTTTCTCTTCCTACCACAGTCTGTCTCCCCAGTGCTGTTCCCTGAGAGACACATCCTATTTCTAAAGAGGGCTTCTGCCCGGAGCGCCCCACAGAGTAGCGTAGACAAAACAGCTCCTAAAGCTGGGAGACCCGAACCTAAATCCTGGCCCCATGCCCACATAGTGCCCTACGTGGCACTCAACAAGTTATATCATTTTTCCGTGTCTCGGTTTCCTCCTTTGTAAATTACCAAGAAAAATCAAGTTCCTGCCTGGTTTGTACTACGTCAGTGGTGACAACAGATATTAGAGCCGGAGGCAAACTCTAAAAGAGTTGTTATTGGCATTAGATTTCACGGTGAAATATCAAAATATCCCACCTGACAGTAGCTTTGCATCTTATTTCTCCTTATGCTTGAAAAGTCTAGAGGCCTTTTTCAATAGGGATGTCCATTTTGGGGACGCGGGCTTCAGTGATGTTTCACTCAGCTTACTTGCCTGGCGTTCCCAAGGTCATCTCCTCCATGATGACTGCCAGAGCTTTGGTCCTGTCTCCACATTCCAGCTGACAGGAAAGCCGCGGGGTTAAAGTGGGGCACGCCACCTCCCTTTCATAACACGTGTTAGACATATCACAATCTGTTCCTCTTGGGGCACACTGACAGAAGAACTTCCCTGTAGGACTACCAGGAGCTGCCACCTAGCTGCAAGGGAGCCTGCAAAAGGTAGGTGTTTATTCAAGGAAGCCACGTTCTCTGCTAACAGTTTGGAACGCTGCTCCTAGAACAGATGTCATGGTTACAGTGAACATTCTTTATCACATGGGCTGTGCCCAAACTTGGTGGTCGATTAGAATTACGTACCAAAAATGCATATTCATGGGACCCCCACCCTAGACCTACTCATCAAGAATCTCTGGGTGTAAGTTGCAAGAGCATGAGCATTAAAAAAAAAACAACAACAAAAAACTGTGCAAGTGATTCTGAGATAGTAGGGGTTGTTTGAAAGCCACTGCCTGAAGCCACAACCCAAACAGTAGGGTGCTCTTCATGCCCGTTCTCTTTGAGAGATGAAGTAGCAATATAGGAATTCAGACCTGGGGATTGTTGATTCTTCTTGTAATTTAGTTTTTTATCTTTTGCACCGGAGAATTAAAGTTTTCTTCGTTTTTCTTCTCTTTGCCTGTCTTGATAATGTTATTTCCTAGACCCTTGAAGTTAGTTTTGGTAGAATTGTCTGTGTTGCAACCCTGGTCCTGTTCCAAGCCACCACAGATGAATTTGAAAGTCTTGATCTGCTGGCAGCTTATTTCGAGGTGGTCTCCTCTGGGGACACCTTGACCTTGAGATGCTGACTTCATACCCATTCCAGTGTAATACTTTCTCTGTCTCCATTGCTTGGCATCTTTAAAGATTTTAGTGAAGAAGCCATAGAGGCAAACAAGAAACGTCAGTCAGCGAAGTCAAAATAGAAGCCTCCCTTCATCGAGACACTTGGCGATTACAAGTGCTGAAGCCGGTCCTGACGCCCTGTCAGAGCTCAGCACCTCATCACAGAGGACATTGTCATCCTCCCTCATTGCACTGAAACTTCTCCGGGGTATGACAAGTATTTCTGAAATTCTTCTGTAGTGATGCCCAGGCTGTCAGCCGAGATACCTGGTGATGGAAACAATGGGCCCTCTCCAGTCCTGGTGCCCTCTTACCGTTCTTAATTATGTGGCCTTCAAAGAGCTGTTGTATTCTTTCCTTTCTCTGTTGTCAGGGCAATGCTGTTTCAGCAACAGACTGGTTTCTGCGTGCTATGGAACTTCTGCAGCAGAGGCATCCTCTGTGATACCTGCTTGGGCCTGCGGGTGTCTGGATAGGTGTACTTTTCTTGCACTTCTGGTTCTGGTCCGTTCTAGGATCAGCTCTGCTACGCAGAAAAGTCACTGGGACTGGGGTCCGAATTCCTGACTGGGAGTCTTTACTTTGTCAGTCACTAGTCGTATGACCTGGGGTAATTCAGCGACTTTCTTAGAGTCCGTGTCGTCATTACAACAATGAGAATTTATAATCTGTTCTTCCCAGTGCAGTTGTGAGGATGAAATGGGCTAGCAGGTGGGAAACCAACTCTGTAGGAGCATCACTTACTCTGTGTGTTCCAGTTACCTAATGCTGCCTAACAAACACCTAAAATGTCGCAGCTTAAAACAACACAGGTCATTTTATTAGCTCTCACGGTTTTTTTGGGTCAGGGATTTGGGAAGGGCTTTGGTGTGCAGTTCTTGTTTGGGGTCCCTCATACACGTGTTGTTAGTTTGTGGCTGGAGCTGAACAGTGAGGGCTGGGGCTGTGGGCGCTGACACAGCATCGCTCTTCCCTGTCATAGACTCGGGGCCTCTCCATGTCCGTCTCTGTGGCCAGCTTGAACTTCCCTACAATATGGCGGCCCCAAGGCACTAGGCTGCTTCCCTGGCTGCTGAAGACTAAGTACAAGTGTTCCAGTGACTGAGGCAGAACAGAAACATTTTTTATGCCCTGGCCTCAGAGTCACATAGTGTCACTTCTGCTGATAGTGAAATCTTTTCATTGGAAGAGGCGCAAAAGCTCACCCAGTTTCACAGGGAAAAGTACATACCCCATCTCTCAGTGGGAGGAATGCCAGAGAATTGGCAGATGTCCTTGAATACAACAACAATTGATACTGTTACCATGGGAGGTCAGGTCAATGGTGCATTCTCATGTGAGACCACCATTATGGAAGTCTGTCTCTCCTCCTCCATCCTTTGAGCTTCATTTCTCGGTTGTAATGTAATAGTAATAAAAGTTAACATTTACTCAGCCTTTAAAGTGGATCAGACACTGTGCTAAAACTTACATAAAATAATTTACATAAACTATCTCATTCAATCCACACAGCATACTTTCTTCATTTGACACATTAGAAAGCTGCTAAGAAAGTTTCAATAATTATTTCAAAGTCCTACTACCAGAAGAGATGGAGCTCGAATTTAAACCTAAGCAGTTTGTTTCTAGA